TTCCATCCTGCAACAACAACAACAACAACAACCACAATTCCATCCTGCAACAACAACAACAACAACCACAATTCCATCCTGCAACAACAACAACAACAACAACCACAATTCCATCCTGCAACAACAACAACTACAACCACAATTGCATCAAGTCAAAGGTGCCCTGGGGTTGATGTAATCATTTATTATACAGATTCATAACATAGTTTCTGTCTTCTGTATGCAACAACAGGAAACTTTTCAGACAGACAGCGGCGGAAATGAAGCATAAAGCCACGTCGTCCCTACTTCTCGGACCACACAACTCGCTTCTGCCACAGCCATATCTTTTTCTCAGCATGAATAAAACACAAAACAACAACCAAAAACCCCCCTACAAAATCCTTGTGAATCAGCAACAAAGTAAAAGGATTTCCATCTCAGGACTTGGAGGAAAACGTCAAACAGTTCTCAATCAGCACTTGTGGAAGACAGACAGAGATGATAAAAGTACCCCGCTCCCCATTGTAAAAAGAGAGAATAATCTTTCTGGCGTGGGGGGCTCTAAGTGAATAATGAGAACATTATTATATATATATATATATATATAATATAATATATTTAAATATATATAACATAACAATAAAAGCAGTGAGCGCTACAGCCTTCACACACACGCTGTGCCAGAATATCATTAAGTAGACAACATTGTCCTCTAGCTCAAAAGACATTCCATGTATTCTACTTGTCAGAGAAATTAACAGATCACGATTAGGATAAACAATCTCAGAAGTAGTCCACATTTGCTGCGCATTCTACATGATGAGAAAACTGGAATAAATACTGTCTATTTTCTGGACAAACTTTTTAGAAACAAAATGTTGTTATGTCACGACTCGGTGGAATTGGGCGCTCCTCAATTTTTGGGTAGACCTAAATATATATCGTGTTACTGGTATCACCTAAAAGCTCGTTCATTTGTCGTGCTTTGCCTCCAGAGTTTGGTAACTTTCAAAGCTTGAGTGTCCTTAAATACTGAAAATGTACTTTGTTTTGAAACTTTGATCACTGTTTTTAAGTACAATCCACACAGTAAGTGTTCTTGAAATGGTCGTAAAATGTGCTAGTACAATCCACCCAGTAAGTGTTCTTGAAATGGTCGTAAAATGTGCTAGTACAATCCACACAGTAAGTGTTCTTGAAATGGTTGTAAAATGTGCTAGTGAAGTCCACCCAGTAAGTGTTCTTGAAATGGTTGTAAAATGTGCTAGTGAAGTCCACCCAGTAAGTGTTCTTGAAATGGTCGTAAAAT